AGCCATGTTGTTGACACCATTCGAGCCCATACAATGCTTCCTTTAGCTCTGCAATATTATTAGTACCAAAACCAAAAGGAACTGAAAATGCATAGATAATTTTACCTTGGTGATCCCTAAGAATGCCACCACTTCCTATCTTACCAGTATCATGAATTGCACTACCATCTCATTAAGATGCTGCAGATTCTTCCAGTTCAAAAGTTGACTTCTGATGTTAGTATATATTTGTGTTATGCCCAATTCACTATCCTCTTTTGGGTTTTCTTGGCTGTGTTCTTTTTCCCCAAAAGACTGATTACTTTTTTTGTTGAACCGGCATTTTTATATCTTTTGTACATAGTGTAAGTTTGAAGCATGATGGCTAAAATAATATACTGATAAACTGGAAAATAATGATGACTAGGCATAGTAACTGATAATTGTGTGGCTCTAAGCATGAAACAGAGTTACACCATTGCATTACCCTAAGTCTTAAATTTGAACTAGGTGTCTGATAATCTGGTATAGTGATGAGATGTCAAGTAAGTGTGAGGAAATTTGAATAGTCCACTATTGGTACTGAGCTAGAACTTGCCTGGTTAGTCCTACAAAAAGTAAGTTGTAATAGACAATTAGGAAATGATCATAGGCCCTTATTCAATATAGCCCATTTCTAGCCTAAATAAAAGAAACCAAATGAAATTTATACTTCTTTCATCCAAATAATCTGAGCTTAAAATTAGACCTTTCTTTTTCACCCCAACTGATCTTTTCTGGGAACAAAGTGTTGGCCCTGGTCCCTCCTTGGACATTTCCACCTCAGCTTATGCCAAAAGAATAAGTTGAGGGTGGCTAATGCATAAACAACCTTCGTTATGGCCCTGACCCAACTTTGGGTATTGTGTACCTTGACTCATGGCAAAGCCATGAGTTAAGGGTGGCTACTATGAGGAATGCTCTGGAAAGTGGGGTTGAAAGAACAAAGAGAGAGAAAGAACAAAAGTAAAGTGACTCAAGAATTAGATGTCAAGAAAAGTAAAGAAAAATAAACATCCACAAGAAATACAAGCAAGAAAATAAGAGAGTTACTTACACAAATGAAGAAATAAGAGAAAATAGCAAGGTGAAAGAATATGAGAAACTGCGCGAGATAAAATGAGAGACAGTGGAAGGTTTAGCCGATATGTCAAGGAGGGAAAAAAGTCACTAAAGTATACCAAAATATACCTTACCTGACCCCAAGCCTATGTTACTAGCTAAAAAAAAAGTCCTATCGTGATCCTAAGGGTCGTATAGCGAACTTAAGGCAGTGAAAATAAGGGCAAGCTTATGACAAAACGTATGAATGAGTGTGACTTTGTTCTGAGAGTGAGTGTTGAAAAGTAATCCTTATACTCAAACTGAAATCATTGTGTGAAAAAGGAGCATTTGTTTTAAAGTGAGGACACTAGTTGTAATACCAGAATTGTTAGCACCTCGGTGAAAATTGAAGAGGATAGGTGTTAGTGCGTGGTGAGTCTGTATCATGTTCTGATCCCACAAAATTCTAGCCTAATAGTGATAGCATGCTTAGATTTGATGAGATTAATCGAGATTGATAGCCAAATGATTGCAAAGGATAAAACATGGATACTATTGTACAAAGATTGTGTAGTGAGTCATAGTGCGTCACTTGAGGACAAACAACGAATTTAAGTTGAGGGTGTTGATATACCGTGGTTTCACGGTATTATTAATACTATTTCCTTAAGTTTAGTGTGTCCAAAAGCCTTTTTGTGCTAATTTTTATATAAGTTTCTCTTTGTTTTGCAGGAAATCTATCCAAAGCTGAATGTGATTTTGAGCAAAGAAATGCATAAGAGACCACCTATGGAGCTTATGACGGTCTGTCGTGCTTCTGACGGTCCGTAGGTGGAAGCGTAGTGTAGCTGCTGAAGGAAGATGGGGAAGTCTGACTAAGTGTGGAATTACGAAGCTTGTGACGGTCCGTCGAGGCTCTGACGGTCCGTCCTGCAGGTTCGTCGTGAAGATCAGAGAAGTGATCTAGTACCCAGATTCCAAGAGTTAAAGTGTTTTAGAACGAAGACCCTCGACGGACCGTTGTGCCTATGACGGTCCTTCATACTTGTCGTCAAGGGGAATGAAGACAGCAGCAGAATAAAGTGCACAAGTATGGGACGACAGAGTCCACGACGGTCCGTCGCGACCACGACGGTCCGTCGCGAGATCCGTCGACCCAGCCGCATTTTGGCAGATTTTCAGCAATTAGAATCCTTGTTTAATTAGGTTTTTGTTTTTTTCTAAATAGTTCAAAAAACCTCGTTTTTGAGGTTAGACACCAGATAGTTAGACTCCGTATTATTAGACTTTGTGTATTATTGTTAGATTTTGAGATTCTTGAAAGTGATTTTTGGAGATTAATCAAGAAAACTTTGGATTTTATTCTTTCTCATTGAAGTAAGTACATGAATTCGTATTTAATATATTTGAATATTGTGATTATGGCTATGATTAACTAAACTCCATAACTAGGGTTGTGGGAACCATAGGCAAATAATGAGATAAACCCTAACGAAAATAACAATTCTAGATAAGTGTCTTGCATGTATTAATAATTCGTTCGCTTAAAAGTCTTTTTAACGGATGGCCAACGTTATAAGTCGCCTTAATGCTACTTGCCGGACCAAGGAGGTAGATAATAGGAAAAGAATTATTAACATAGATTTAGTGTATAATATCTAATAGTCTAGTATTGATTGGTACGAGGTAATAACTTAGTCAAATATCGAATATGATGCTTAATATAAGGTAAGGATAAGGGTTAGGACAGCAACACACGTAGCCGGACCAAGGTGCGGAGTGAGATTTTCTAGATGCCAGACCAAGGACTTAGAAATACATAACTTATCACTTTGCATGCAAGATACTAGGAAAGAATTGTTATAGTTAGAATTATCAAGTTATGAACCTGTGGGGAACACGTAAACCCTAGTTACCTTGATTAATTGATTAAAATCCAACTGTTAACGCTGTTAAGTGTCTCTTTCAAGTTTGTTATTTATTTCCACTCATTTAGAAAAAGAAACCCCCCTTTTTATGTTTTTTACTTTCCAAGGAAGTCATTGACCAAGCAATAGTAATAACAAGTTAAAGTAAAGTCTAGACTATTTTCGTTGTGGGAACGATCCCAACCTCACTAGTTGGGTTATTTACTTGACATGACCGCTTTACTTCTTATTTGAGAAGTATGTTTGAGTGTATCACTTGCCTATCAAGGATTTGAACCGGAACTTCCTCATAAGAGAAGTTATCGTTCACACCAAGACCCTCAATAGAAAGAATAGACTCGGGGTCACCGATACACTTCTTAAGCATGAAAATATGGAAAACCGGAAGAACCAAAGTCAATTCACTAGGAAGTTTCAATTCATAGACAACCTTACCAAACCTTTGCAATATTTCATAGGGAGGACTCAACTTCCCTTTCTTGATAAACCTAACCACCCCTTTCATAGCCGAAATTTTCAAATACACTTTATCACCTTCTTCAAACTCTAAATCCCTTCTCATATGATCGACATAAGACTTTTGCCGACTTAGGACATTTGCAAGCTATTCCTTATAATATGAACTTTCTCCAAAGTCTTATAAATTAATTCGGGATCAAGAAGTGAAGGCTCGCCTACTTCAAACCATCCAATAGGAAACCTGTACGTCCTACAATACAAGGCTTCATAAGGAGCCATGGATATGGATGGATGAAAACTATTATTATAAGCAAACTCAAACGAAGGCAAATGCTTATCCCAATTTCCCTTGAAATCAATAATACATGCTCTAAGCATATCCTCGAGGTTTAAATAGTACGTCGCGTTTGACCATCCGTGTAAGAATCCAAAATGTTATAGTTTTATAAAGCCTAACATGTTTGTATTGAGCTTATAAGGTCCTAAAATTACTTATAAAATGGTTTAGAGTCAGTATGTAATGTTTGAAGTGATTTGGAAGTGGAACGTCAAGGGACGATCAAAACGTTTGACGACTAGTCATCTATGTGCCTCATGTATCCATGTGTGTTTATATATAGTGTGTCATGAGATTATTAAGTCTTAAAATGAGTTATAATGATATTTATATATGGTATATGTAGTTTTGGGAAGTTTGGAGGTCAAATGACCAAGAACATACAATGCGTTCAAATGATAGCCCTTAAAACGCTCAACGTGTGTCTTGATGGGGCCTAGCGTTTTTGGATGACTTGCAGGTGTTTGTTTTGGGTGAAACTTATGTGGAAGGTCTAAAACTTATTAAGGCTTGTATTTATGTGGGAAACGTCCGTGTACGACTTCTAAAGGGCCCCACAAGAAGGACCCAAGGCTGGTTGAGACACTGCCTTCGTAGTGTTAATCGACGGACCAAACGACGGCCAGTTGGTCAACCAACGGTCCGTAGGTGAGGTCTCGTTGATTGGTACTTAGCTTGCGTAGCTCTCAAGCCAAAATTTGGCCAAGGAACAAATGATGGAAGCCAATGCACGGCCCGTCGACTGACCAACGGCCAGTATATGGCTCCATCGATCACTACAAGAAAAAAGGTCTTTATCAAAGGGAAGAATGGTCGTTAAAAGTCAAAATTCGGTCGCTAAATTTCAATAGCAACCGGAATGAATCCGGTCGTTGCTGGTCGTTAAGAGCTCCATCGTTAAAAGTTAACGACCGAATTTCATTTGGTCAGTAAAACTACTTCCATCGACAACATAAATTCTGGTCGTTATACGTCCTTTTTAGCGACCTAATTTGCCCTTAATCCAACTTCTTCTAACGACCGTTATTCCTTTCGTTAATTGTAGGTTAGTTTCAATACAAATACTATAAGTGGCCAATTTTTTCGCCGTTAATGACCGTTTCAATATTGTATAATAAAGGTAGTCATAAACGAATTCCAAAGATTATGTTCATTTTCTATTGTACGAAAAAATATACTAGTGAATCACATTAATTATGTAATCTATGGAAACATTTGCAAATATATGAAACAATTTAATTCATCATATAAAACTTCATTGTTATTACAAAAACTAAATAAAGAAAGATATATCAAGTGGTCTGACATATATTTATCAACTCCTAACAAGAAAAAAGTTACAACATATATATATAAAACAAAATATTGTCTTTCGACCACCCTTAACCGAAGTAAAAGCGCTCTTGATTTTCAACTTTCTCCGTACTTTCTTGAATGACACCCTTAACCAAAGTAAAAGCACTCTTGATCTTCAACTTGCTCCATACATTCTTGAACAACATATTCAAATGCTTGAGCTTTAAACAAAAGAAGTTTATGTCAATTAGAACAAAGAATAAACACTCGAAGTTGCAACTATAATGTGCATGACAATATGCTAGGAGAATACATTTTGAAGTACATATTATTGTATTAACTGTAACACAATTTAGGATCAAAAGGACAAAAAGAAGGATAGTATCTAAATAAGAAAAGAAATATACTGTAACAGAAAAAAAATATAAGTCTTAGCTTCCAAAGCATTGTATTGACTTGATCAAAGTAACCAATCACAATAATTTGTGCATCTGACATTAACAATTATTCAGGTTCGGAGCAATTTTCTTATGCATCTCAAGTTGAGGCACACTAAGCATTGAAAAGATGGGCAAAAGATGCTACTTTGTATTATTCTGTAAATAGTATTTTATAGACAACCACATATTCTAGTCATTAGAACAACATTAAAAACAAGTAGATCACTTTATTCATATCCTTGACACTTTATTTTCTTTTTACATTCACAATAACAGAACCCATATCAAAAATATTTCCAATGTTTGAAATCGTGATAACAGGACACGGGATTCTCACCAAGAGCTTAGTGTGTAATAATCTGGAAAGGATTCAACAAACATAAAATGCATGAATGTGATGAGGACTTTATTAGCTTTTATAATTAACCTCCTTCGGAATGTTATTATGCATTTAACTTCCGCAGTTTTCACAGATTCCAAACCATTACCACATTCACTGCCACCATAGCCTTGACGGCCAATATTTTTAACCTAGTTCCTCCACAACAACAACAATAGAAAAGGGATCAATAGGGATGAATGGCATATTAACAAATCAAAACGCATAGCTATAAGTCCAACAGAATGACAAGCATATAAATCAACACAGCTTCATTACATCAAAATCTAACACTTGAAGGAAATCAACAGTTAAATACATCGAATATTTTAAAATGAACAACAAAAAACTAAGAAAATAAATTGGACAGACAAACGTTAAACTCGTAAAGTGAACTTACTCAACAGAAACTATAGGTTATAAGGAAAATTATGTGTTTCCTGCAAGGATCAACCAAAGAACACATAAGTAAACCCTATCACAACATTATGTTCATCTTAACTATATGAAGCTACATCTAATTTTATTTCTTTTACCCCTCAAAACTGATTTGTTTTCTCGATAAAGAAGCTATCCACAAAATGAAAAAGAGGAAGATACTTCATCATACATTTGAATATGCATATCACAAAACACATCCAACATTTCACAAGCGTAACAGAGATGTCCTGGTCAACTCGACCTCCATATTAGGAGAAGATTTATTTCCACTACAACTATATTAGTGGACATCAACTAAGACGAAAACACTTTTTATGTTGATTGTCTTTTCACAATCAAATTAAAGTACTTTGAAGTAATAAAACCTTATAGAACAAACCAACAAATATATACATACATATATATACACATAGATATACTTGCATAGAGTTGCAATTACCAGGTCTAAAAGATTTATAACATCGGCATGTGTGTTAGATTTGTGAAGAAAGAATTTCTTCAATTTGAGGGTTAATTAGTAGGATCAGATATATGTGATTATTGTCAAACATGGAGCCCTAAACCACTTCTGTTAGAATGTTTCAATAGGGCCATATGGAGTTGGTCTCTGGAGAAGTATAAGCAAGTTATGGGAGGATTTCTCTCAACACAAACACTTAATAGCACGGAATGGAAACATATTAGTTTATGGAGAGAAATGGATAAGGAAACTGCCCTTTAACGGTTGCTTATCCTAAAATGTTCCAGATAGCAAGAGAGACAAACTCTATGATTCAACAATATAGAAAAGGTAATTATTGGACCATCATCCTCAAAAGGGACATACAAGATTGGTAAATGGAGGAGTTGGTAAGCCTACTAGCACCCAAACCAAACAAACTCCTTCCCTGTCTCATGAGTGCATCAGAAATAAAAATAATTCATTTACTAACCTGTTGAATGGGACCATCTATTTATCACTTGATGATGGTGGTGCTGAAGGATGACCAAGCAATACTCTTGTAAGTTTTTCATATTTACTCTCTAGCTCATCCATGCGTTCACAATTATTCTTTAACTCATCCATGAGTCTTTTTAGTGATTCATTCGATTTTCACATGCATGTGGTCCTCCACACCTCGCCTCAGCTGTTCCAACCTACTTAATTTTATAAGAGAATTATGCTGCAACTGGAAAACATACAACAAAATCAGATGTATACAGCTATGGTGAGGTTCTTCTAGAGCTATTCATAGGCTATTTACCAATTAATACAAAGTTGCTTACTAGAGAACGTGTAATTGTCATATGGGTAAAAAACTAATCCTACAAAATTCCAAATGTTACACTAATTAATAATTTCACAAGTTCTAGAACATTACCTGCCTTACTGCATGAATTGAAAGTAAAGGAGTTGCTTATAATATAGTTCGTGTACAAAAGTTAATATCATTTGACAAACTATGGACATGTATATTTTAGGGGTTTAATTTAAACAATGCCTAAATTTGTTTTCTCCGTTATTTTAGGTTGTTCCAAGGTTGACAAATAGAGAAAATTTTGGTTTAGCTGTTCCAATCTACAACTAACTTTTTTAGATTTTGTAACCATTAACGAACTCAATTTATTAATACACGTATGCTTCAACTGGAAAACTAACAACAAAATCTGACGTATAAGGTTATGGTGACGTTCTTCATGACCTATTGACAGGTCATGTACCAATTGATAGAAAGCAGCCTACTGGAGAACATGTGCTTGTCTCATGGGTCAGTAACTAATCCTACACAATTCCAAACTTCACACTAATTAATATTTTTACCAGTTCTAGAACATTACTGCCTTATTGTATGACCTGATAGTATAAAAGTTATTTATAATATTTTCGGTGTACAAAAGTTAATATGAAAACTGAAACCATTACCTATACAAGATTCAGGGGTTAAATTGAAACAATGCCTGAATCAATTTCCGATGTAATATTAGGTTCTTCTAAGGTTAACAAATAGAAAAAAAGTATTTGAATTTGTAGATTCAATATTACAAGGGCAGTACAAGAAGAAGGATCTAATCCAGGTTAATGTTAAATTACATTCTGGTACTTTTTAATCCTCATTCCTGTAATACTACATATCAAACAAAATACAATGTTTCATCTTTCTTTGCTAAAATAGGTAGTTGTTATAGCTGCAATGTGCCATGCAAACAAAAACAGATTATCTTCCGTTAATGATGGATATTGTGCAGTTCTTCTGAAAGTATTTAAGACCAAGCTTATAGTTTCATGGAACTTAGGTGATAATTCTATTTCAGTTTCGCGACACACTTAATTGTAAAGATTACACAAGATTCAAGTGTACATTCATAATTTATTCATTTTATATGACTAGACGAGAACCTTCATTCATATTTCATATTGCTCTCCAAGTAAAAATATATGAGTTTCCTTCAAGTTCATTTGCAGCCCATTCTCCATAGAATGAGATGCAAATCACTCTTCTATAGTGATAATCATCATCTCGCCTCATTTTATTTTCAATCAATAATAATAACGATAGAACTCACATTTGTACATACAACATATATGCTTACAACTGTATACTCTCAAGTTCATAGACATCAAAAAAAATGTGATAGAATCATCAATCATAGTGCAAATTCAGAATTAGGGAAAATACAAAATAGGGCGAAAATTCAGAATTAGGGAAAATACAAAATAGGGCAAAGTCAAGAATTTCACAAAGCAATCATGGTTATAACGATAAAATTTTACCTAGAAGAGAACAGAACTTCAAGATTGCGTCCAAATCATATAAATCACAACAAGGTCACAACAAGCAGAAAGAAGAGAAGGATCATTTTGTTGTTCTGTGTTCAAAACAAAGAGATCCAAATTACCTCTTTATAAGCTGGAATACAGAGATGTCTGTATCTCTACCTACTAAGTTTCCTCTAACAAATCTGGGAATTATGCACAATTGTGAATCTCTATTTTGCTGATTTTACCCTAAGTCCTAACACAAGGGAGAGAAGCATCTGTTGCACAATTTCCTCTAAATTTTGCTGAATTTTTTCTAGCTTCATTAGTGATGTCTTCCTACTGCTTGATGAATTCTCTAAGTTTGCTGGAAGAACAATAAAACCAGAAATGCCAACTTCATCGATAGTGTTTTTCATGAAGGAGAGGTGTGGGTGCGTGGAGAGACGTGTGTGGTTGAGAAAAATAAAAAGGAAAATATTATTATGTTTTTGAGAAAATAAAGAGGGAAATAATTTAACTTGACCAATGCTTTTAATTTTCAATTACAATTAACATCGGGATACTAATAATTTTAAAATCCGGATACTATTTGGCTGTTAATGTAAAATTAAAAATTAACTTTCAACTACGGAAAAAAAATTGTGTTGCTATAAATAGACTTTTAATTATCAAATTCGTATCCCTTCGTAAGAATTGGTCATTAAAAGTACAATTTCTTGTAGTGGATGGTGGCCTGTAAGTTACTGTCTACGTCTATTTTAATTCAGGGGTGAATAGGAAATTCACCCCACATACTAACTTGACTCTAATAGGTTAATTAAGCTAGTTTTAGATGTATATAAGGGAGTTAAAATGTGATCAAACCATTCTTAAATCCTTCTACACGATTAAAGTCTTTCCCGCCAAAAATATTTCCCTAGAAACCACCATTGTTGGTGAAGCACAAGAACTGATTGGAGCTTGGATTTTCATGAATGAATCATCAAGTTCTAGAGATTTTAATGTTGATTAACGTATGGTGATCCTTCATCTCTAGTTATCCTTCCATCTAGAGAGTTAATCTCAATGTTTTCAAAAGAGTTTGCATGATCAAAGTTCTTCTTCTTCAATCAAACCATGGGTTCTTTCTTAAATTGATTTCAAAAGCATAATATGAATGTTTTGATGATTATCCACTAATTTGGACGTGATTTTCAATCCTATTGCATGATGAACCCATGCATCTTTGACAAACTCAATTTTTGTCTATGTATGGCTTTATGATCTTGATCTTATGCATGTCGATTTGTGATTCAATTATGTTAATATGCTTATTTCTATTGTTTATTATGTAAATTGATGGTGAATCATTGATGAATTACCCATGTGAATCAATGTATGAAGATTTGAACATGTTTAGTCTAGTTTTCCATGATTCACTGTAATCTTGGTCTTTTGATGATTTAATGGGGAATTTGATTGTGCGGGGATGGTTGTATCTACTGTCTTAATTGGATTTTATGGATGAATTGTAAATAAGTGATTTCATGATTGATCAATGTTGGTTAGCCTGTGATTCTTCTACTCTCCATGGATGTCTTAAATAACATGTTCACTGTATTCTAAAGGCTATAGCAATGGTAGTAGAATTTCGTGTAGATTATATTGTTCTTATATACTGCCTTATATTGATGATATTAATGGATTGTGGGTATGAATTTTGATGATCAAAGAAAAGGAATCTTGTCATGAATTGATATAGGTTCTTCTATACTACAATTTGAATATTGTAATGAATATTATGTGATCTTAATTCTAGGGGAGATGAAGCATGATTTATATTTGATTTATATCTATTTGGCTACTGCCCTAAATGTATATTATTGGTACATGATGATTGATGAACTAAACTAGGGAGGTTAGTTGATGACCTAGGACTCTGTACTTCCTAGTACATGTGAGATGCCTTGTATAATGTTATAGTATGATCTTGTAGCGACTTGTACATGGTTTCTTTTATGATTAAAGTACATTTTGCTACTTCCCTATATATATTGTTGATTAACAAGGTGTATTGATCAATGATGATTAAAGGGTAAGAAATTGGTAAGAATAATGTAGTTGATGAAGCCTTGTATGGCATTGTGTGGTATGGTCCACTTATGGTGGATGTGCTTACTTTATTGTCATTATATATGTATTGACCATAGCCATGAAGGCAAATTTATGAATATATGAACATGTACTTATGATGATACTATGTGAAGCTTATGCCTACTTTCCTATACTAGTTGTGATTTAGGTTGTATGGCTATTGTGTAAGCATGTGTATATTCATGGGTAAAGTATAGGTGCTGCCATTGATGAGTAAAAATGGTTAATAATATCTTACATATGTACCCCTATGTTAATGCATGAATAACACAAGTTAGGAGTCTTAAGTGTAATATGAAGTTGGCTTGTCTCCTATGCTATTATGTGTGTTGTGTGGTTTATGATTGGAGGTATAATGTGGTCCTTAGAGGGTGGCTTCCTCAAGATGTTGTTGATAGCCATTATGTGTTCATGTTGACCAATCTACAAACACACTCACTTTATATGCATGTTACAAGTAGTATAGGTTATGGTATTTAAATGAAAGGAAGCTCTTATATTCACTAGTGTCTACTACTATGCATGTTAAGATGATGTTTATGAAGGCATGATATGTGGTTCCTTATCTAGGATGACTTGATAGGGGTACTAATATGGGCAAGAGTATGGGACTTTGTCTATGCATTGCACATGTGACCCTTAATAGGATAATTCTAGTTTTCGTTTCTATATGTATGTATGAACATGTGTGTCTTTATGTGTTATGTTAAAGGTTTGCTCACATATATGTATACACACACATGTATGAAAACCTAGTCAAGAGAGGGGCCTTGAATAGTGTGTTCATGTGTACCCTAAACTAGATGATGCTTTACATATTATATGTTCATGTGAAGGGATTGTTTACATGATTTAGATTAATGAACTTTCATCTATGACCTATGAGTTAAGAATATGTGGGGACGACTCTCCTAAACCTATATCTTATAAAGTAAAAATATAATAAAGGTTTTCAATGAAGGGAACTTAGCTTAGCACCAAGTGAACTTGAATATGAATGTATGTCCCTTCCTATGGTAGGAAGGTAGGTCACCTTAAATCTCATGATGTGGATAACCACAATGCCTCAATGGGCATAAATAGGATTCCCATAAGTGAATAACTACAATGCCTAATCTTGGCATAAAGAGGGTTTTCACATGTACCTCCAAGTTCCATAACGATGTTGCCACCATAGGACACTAGCTAGTGGATCCACCTAGAAAGTTATGTCACATTTGGTCCTACTTTGGCCGGTAGACCACCTCCTTTCGGTGTGGGGTTCTATGACACCGAATTTCATGTTTAGCATCACATGGTCTATGTTAGTTAAGGATATAGTTTTCCTAAAGTAAAATGGACAAAGAAAGTAAATGACTAGGACCCTAAATAGAATTACTTAAGGGAGGTTACTTTAAATAAGTGGAAATAATGCACCCACCTAGACATTGCACAAGTAGCTCCTTAGGAAGTTCTAGGAAGGTGTTCCAATGCATGTCACTATGTATGTGTTCCTTATGCATGACATAGTAGTATTTGTCTACTTGTAATCAAGATGTACATGATATGAGTCTATATGTATTATGTTGATATTGTTGAGTATATGATGAAGGTCTTGACTTAACTATGTCTATGTTGTACTATACTTCTATGACGGTATGTGTTGCCTTGTATAGATTGTATGTATGTTTTCTTGTGGCTTAAGGTGATGCATTGCACCAAGTATACTAGAGGGTTACTTGGGAAGTTAATGAATAAAAAGGAAAATAGTTCACTGTTAAAGGAATTGAATTCACTGTAAAGTGACTCAAATATGTAATAAATTCGATAACAGATATTATGAAATGTTTGGCCTTTGAATATGCTTATATGAAGTATATGAATGACATAAATGCTATTATTTAAAGGTTTTATAAAGATTTACTCAAAAAGGCATGAAGTATGATTTCAAGAAAATATCCCTTTTAAATGCATGTTTTTGCATGTTTGTCATACTTAGTGCATTCTTGTACTAATCTCATTCTTCTCTACTTTTTTACACAAAGTGTAGGTTATGGATGCTTAAAGGATGTCTATATGATTATGTAGCTTGATATGTGATTCCCAAGCTCAAGGAAAGGAATCCTTAAGTCCAAGGATTTCCTATGTTAAGTTTTATTGTAAAGACTTAAATATTGTACTTACGTGTATGTTTAAGGGTCATGTCCCTAATTTATTCTAATGTTGTTGAGTCTAAGATGGAAAAAAGACTTCGAGTCTATATATGTATTATGGCTTATATTTTATATGGATATGAAGTAAAGTTTCTAGCATATGAGGTGCTATGAAAAGTTTTAAATTTTCCGCTAAATTTACCATGTCGATGCGATAAATAATATCTATGGGCTTGTATAAGACCTTCGAGAAGTCAAGTACGCTATTTTACTTCTAGGGGGTGCTCCCCAGTTGTGACAATCCATTTGGGGATGAAAAGCGTGATTATCTTCACCTTGGTACCCAAACCCCTTTTTGGAATGACATCCAAAACCTAAATGTGAATTGTGCACCCCTATCCAATATGATGGATAACGGAATATCATGGCGACACTCAATTTTATCTATGAAGATCCTTGCATAATCTTCTGCCGAATAAGTAGACTTGACGGGAATAAAATGAGTGGACTTGGTCAACCTATCCACAGTCACCCATATAGAGTCATATTGCTTTTTAGTCCAAGGAAGACCTACTACAAAATCCATATTGATGTCCTCCATTTCCAAGTAGGAACTTGGATTTCATGTAGTAAGCCACCTGGATTTTGATGTTCAGCTTTTCACTTGTTAGAAATTTGGACACTTAGAGACAAATTCTGCTATTTCCTTCTTCAAACCTTCCCACTAAAATATTTCCCTAGGTCATGGTACATCTTTGTTGAACCTGGATGAATGGAGTAACGGGACCCATGAGCTTCCTCAAGAATCTGGCTCCTCAAACCATCTTTTTTTGGAACACATAACCTCTCTTGGTACCTCAAGACACCATCCCCCCCCCAAAGGAGAATGACTCATTCAGTTTACAAAGAACCAATTCCTTTAACTCCATCAATGCTTGATCAAGGTGTTGTTTGGACTTCAGCTCAACCACCAAAGATGAATCAGAGTTATGAGCCTCAAACTAACACCTAAACTGGGAAATCTGACAATTTGATAGGGTAATGAGGTGTCAATAGAGTGTGAGATATGTTGATTGTTCAAATGTTGGTACTCAACTAGAACTAGCCTGGTTGGTCCTGGAAAAAGGAGTTTGTGTTAGACAATTAGGAAATGATCATATGCCCTTGTTCAAATTAGCAAACATCTAGACTAAAATAAAGC